CTGCCTCTTCTGCTCCCCACTCTGTCTCTGGTGAATCCTCTCACTGCCCCTGCACCTCTGACCTATACCTTGGTTCAGTATGCAAAAAGAAATAAATCTTTAAAAAAATTCATTTAAATATCACCTAAATCAGATATGACTACTTAAACCCTGATTCAAACTGTCATCCAGCTGTGAACCTGTGAAGCTAAGCAAGGTGCATGCTTCTAGCACACAATGGCGGAAACTGCATAGGACAGACATTTCCACTTTAAGGGAAGAAATATGTAAAAATAATAGAAAATTACCAAACCTGACTGTGTGACAGGGCTTTAGGATATACTATGCCGAAACATGGCACCTGGGGAAATTGAATATCTTATGATGAAAGAATTTTTTAAGAGTGGTGGAAGTTATAAAGATATTCTAACTTCCCTACCATGTTCTTTCTTGAAATAAGTCATAAAACGCCTAGATGGATGTTGCCTTCCCTGCACCAGAAAGAGGAAAGGCATTCATGTCCCAGAGGTGACAAATTCAGACCAAGAAATCTGCACAAATAAACTTTGTTAAGCTACCCTCAAATCCCTTAGCATCTTCTTCACAATTGATAACTACTAGCTCAAGCCCTTTTATCTTTTCTACTCTTCAAAATTTATTTCTTTCTATGAAAGATACATAAAAATATAAAACTCCTGCTCTGTGAAATTTCCAAATTTTTAAATTCTGCATTCTTCTACTAACACAAAGCCACAGCAGTTCCAGTTTCGTTCTTTTTTTTTTTTTAAAGATTTATTTATTTATGCTCTGGTATAGGTCAGAGGTGTGGTGGGTGAGAAGATTCACAAGAGACAGAGTGCGGAGCAGAACAGGCAGGTGTGCGGAAAAACACTGCTGAGGGGAGCAGTGGGCGAGTCAGGAGTGGTCTGCCACGCCAAGTGGATCAGCTCGCTGATGGGAGGTGGAACTCGTGCTGCAGTGGCTTCAGAGAGCTTCATAATGCTGTGCTTTTAGCTCACTGGGCCACCAAGGAGAGCTCAGCAGTTCCAATTTCTAAGATTAGCTATTTTTAAAGCAACCTTCCTGTAACCACCAGCCTCCTAGGTGATGCTTGTCCTTATACAAAGAGTTGCTTAATAATTACATATTTAAGCTATTTATCTCTTCTCACTTTTTATTGTAAGTAGTTAGAAGAAGCCACTTTGCCTCTTCAGCACTTTGCTTAGGCAGAGTTTCAGTTAAGTATCCAGTGTCATTGCTTGGTTAGCGCTTCCTTCCATAAAGTACTAGGGCACACACACAGTGCAGCAGCGGCGTCTATGCCATGTTGCACAAGAGCACTTTTCTAGAGTTCTACAGGATATTTTGTAGGGACAGCAAAGGAACATTTTTTTTAATGC